GTTAATTTTTCGATCGAATTATGTCGTCAATCATTATTTATGTATAAAAGGATCATTATTAAGATAGTTTGAGTTAAAAGTTCTACTAAGGATAAAGTGTTCTCTTAATGATATGTTTTTGGAATTTGTACTCAATCATCGGATAAGTTTTTAGGGCTTTATGTGGATGACAGTCACTTATTCAACACCCACATCACAAATGTATGCGAAAAATCATCTTCTGGTTGTTTTTCAGTAAAAGTCATCTCATCTGAATTGAATACATCTGCAGCAAGATCCGTATATTTTGCCCTGATTGACTTTTTGAAATATGGAGAAAAAACTTACCAACAATTCACTTTTTTCGATATAACTGAAGAATGAAAAAAAATTGAAGGCTGTTGGTATGGTAATTAACCGAACTTGTATCTCCTTCCGTTTTCGAGATCCCCATGCTGTGCAACCTCATTTTGGTCACACTGTATACATAAGTTCGATTCGTTTCAATTTTAAATACCAATCATCCATTATATTGTCGGCAGTTTTACCAACCAATCAAACGTGCAATTCCTTGTCGATAAAGCAATAAGTACCAATAGAAACACCAATGCACGTTTTCCATTTTCTGGATTGCTTTTGATAGTTCCACTTCCAGCTTATTTCAGATTGCCGTCTGCATTTGCAGCTTGCAGCTTTGGCAAATTAATGAGACATATCGCACTGAATTGCTTCAAGTTCCAACATTACGGTATTCTCTTGTTCCACATGTTTCATGTTCCATTCGCCGTGAGAGAATGAAAGGAAGGATTGTTTATCTGGTTCAGTGCCAGAATTCTGTCAGATGAAATATTATCTTGCAGAACAGAACAACTTTGCTTACCACGTCGAATTAATTAGCACCACAGTTTTTTCATCTTAATAACAAGATCCCAAAATTGTTAGTCTTTCTCTGAAAGCTTTCGAGATTTCTTTTCAAAATTTCGAGATAAATCCTCGAAATTTTGAGTGTTTTTGTTGTACCTACCGAAAGTAGCCAATAGATTTCGATTTAAGAGGAAGTTGTTCTATGATATTCGCGAGATTCACGAAGTGGGCGACATCTAGGTTACATAATATGAACTTCAAACTGGGGGAAAACAAACTATTGTCTATGGATAAGGTGCATAGACTACATTGCATTCAGCTTGCTGTAGCTGTAGTCCAACTTGTCAATGAAATAAAGTGTTGGCACTATCGGTATAGCGATGATGGTTGAGTTGGTTAATTTTTTTACATTATTACATTTTTATTAGTTTAGTGAACAGTGAACGGGTGAAGAATTGGAGATAGTTCAAACAATTCAAACTAATTATGACGAGCAAATCAATTGACATATGAAAGAACATCTACAACATGTTTATAATATCCAGATTGTCCAGCTTTGCATGAACAAATACGAATCCATTGTTCTACAGGAGTTCATCTGGACCCCAACTTCAACTTTACTTTATGTGGGGAAGATTTCATCGCCGAAGTTTGTAGACAAAGTGCAAAAATGTGCCTTTTGCTGAAGTCTTCTGCCTCACACAAAATCACATGATTAGCACGGAGAACTGCTTCTCCTTCCACTACTGGTCGGCTTTTTCCATCTAAATAGAGCAAAATATCTGCCAAAAGAACATCTACAACAGGCATTATTATTATCGTTTTCGATCGAATATTGACAATTAATGTCAAGAAATTTAAAAACTTTTCACTCTTATCAGTACACAATACACAAGCTAATGGCACTAATGGAATTGAGTCAGTTGAGTGAGGATGGAGTTTGTTTTCCTCCAGTTTTGACGTGGCTTTGACATGGAACGATGAAAACCGAGCACCACCTGGTAGCATTGATTTCCGCGAATAAGGCAATGATGCAAAGGTTTCGTAGTCCCTAACTTTTCAGGGTCATTTTGCATTTTGAGTCAATTAAAAAATTTGTACATATTAGCGAAGATCTTATCTATGTTCCTGTCGTCTTACTTTTTCGAAATTTGCACTTTTTGCACTTTTTTGTCGATATCAAAGTTTTTTCCACGGCGACTCATTAGCACTGCGGTTTGACACGCGTCAACTTTTTTTATTTTCATCGCTGTTTGCTGTTTTCGTAACTTCAAAGCTACCAATGGAAAAGAAGCGTGAAAACCTCTTAACATGCGGGGTGATATAATTCTGTATTTCCATGTATTTCTGGAGCAATCATTTATGATTTGTGCACAGTGGAAGTATTGTGATTTTGACCAATTTTCAACAAGGCCGCGTGCACGTAAAAGTTCGAAAAACGATTATGGATGTCATCGTGAAGAGTGTCATCTCGATCCAACATTCGCCAAAGAAATAAGGTGAGTTGAACTGGAATAGTACCTCAAGATCTTATTAAACCTACTAACCGGATATCTTGACAATGACTCGCCATATTCTGACACACATACCCTCGCCCACTTCTCTCAAGCTGTGTAGTATATAAAGCACAAAATTACGTTGAAAATGTGGACTATTCATTGATGAAGAATTTAGTTACATAGCTGCCAGTCCTGATATGACGGAATGGAACACAGCTTCATTGAAACAACGACTGTTGATTTCCTAAAGTGCACGAATAATTTGGAAAAGAACTAGTATAAAACCACTGTTCATGCCTAACTCTTGAAGGCGACATCCTCTTTTGTAGAGAGGCATTACGAACGCCAAAGTTGATACACTCCCCTCGTGATGGTACCGGACGTGATTCCATACACTCACAATGTCGACTAATTCTTCGACTAATTGATTGAATGATCGATAGGTAGTTTTTCATGAAAAAATTTTCGGAGAAGGATAATAATATGATCTCTATTTGAATTTAATGTTCATGAAAACTTATCTTGGAAATCTCCATATTTCATTCATCTGCCTGACAGATGTTGAGCTTCTAAGTGAATTGTCCTGAACGATTATAGAGGTCTTGTGAGTACAGGATCTCAGATGATGAGATATCTGCCATAGTTTACATTGCTTCTGGTATATCCTAAAGAAAAAACTTGGATTAGTATTATGCTTCTCTGATTGCGAAATATATTATTCATTATAATTTATATCCAAATAGAAAAACATGGGCTATCCTTCAAAGAACACAGCTTCATTGCAACACCGACTGTTGATTTCCTAAAGTGCACGAATAATTTGGAAAAGAACTGGTATAAAACCACTGTGTATACATAATTCTTGAAGGCGACACCCTCCTTTGTAGAGAGGCATTACGAACGCCAAAGTTGATACACTCCCCTCGTAAGGGTACCGGACGTGATTCCATACACTCACAATGTCGACTTTTTTCGAATTTTTCGACTGTTTGATTGAATGATCGATAGGTCGTTCTTCATGAAGAAATGTTCGGAGAAGAATAGGAATATGATCTCCATTTGAATTTAGTGTTCATGAAAACTTATCTTGGGAATCTCCATATCCCGTGAATCTCTCTGACAGATGTCGAGCTCCTAAGTGATGTGTCAAAAACTTTAGAGTTCTTGTAAGTACTGCTTCTGAAATGCTGGGATATCTGCCATAGTTTACATTGTTTCTGGAATATCCTGAAAAATCCTCAGATTAGTATTATGCTTTTCTAATTGTGCAATATATTATTCATTATAATTTAAATTTTCTGGGAAAAACATGGGTCTACTTCATAGAGCACAGCTTCATTGAAATAACAACTGTTGCTTTTGTAAAGTGCACAAATATTTTGGAAAAAAAACTGGTATAAAACCACTGTTTATACCTAGCTCTTAAAGGCGACACCCTCCTTTCTAGAGAGGCATTATGACCGCCAAAGTTGATACACTCCCCTCGTAAGGGTACCTGACGTAATTCCATACACTCACAATGTCGACTAATTTTTCGACTGTTTAATTGAATGATCGATAATAGTCGTTTATATGAAGGAATGTTCGAAGAAGAATAAAAATACGATCTGTATTTGGATTTAATGTTCATAATATATAACTTAATTATTTTGTGAGGAAGTCGTCGGCACGGAAAAAATCTAATTTGACTTCGAGCCCCAGAAGAATTTGGCCTGCGGCGCATTTTTTTGGTTCCTTGCCCCCCCCCCCCCCTTCCCCTTGGTATCCTCTGAAATTACGCTCCTCATAACTTCGCCACTGAGAACCAACCGATTTGGAACAGAAAATAAAGCCGAAATATTCGAAAATTCAGGGTCTGTTGGTATAAAGGATCGAAGAATTCAGGAAACAAATAGAAGTGAAAATAAAGATTTCGAAAATAAATTGAAACAAAAAGATTTAGATTCCCGAATTAGAGTTCAAGTCGAGAATCTGCTTCCTTACACCTTTGTGGTGTCCTCTATCGATTGGAAGCTTGACTAAATGTAATTGTCTTGCAGCTTGCAGTCTGTATTAAATATAAGCGAAACTCAAAACAGATTTCTTTTTCGTTCCGCAATGTCTAGTTTGAAAATACTTTCACAGATGACGTTAGAAGGCAAGAAGTGCAGGGTTGGTAGAACTGATGATAATTTTTAAATTTCGTCATAATTTCTTTTGCTGTTCGCAATGAACTCAATATGAACCAATGAACTCAATACAACATTGTTCACATTCAGTTCATTGATATGAACACCACTGTTTGTTAACATGTTATTCGCGGTCGTCAAGGTCATTAGATGATGTTGCGATGACATTTAAAACTACGGGAAGAAATCCAAACCCCTGCCATAGATTGACAGTTGGACATGTTTTGTTTTCCCGTAGTTTTTAATGTCATCAGAACGTCATCTAATGACCTTTGTTACCGCGAATTCCTACGTTATGAATCAGCAAATCAAATGATGAACAGAAAAATAATCATAGCGAGTCTTTCACACAAAGAGAAGTGGAAATTACACTGTTGATGCAAAAGAAAGGACCATGAGGTTCCATGTCAAATGTCATTGTCATTCCATTCGATGTTTTGTGTTATGTCTTGTGTCAGTTGTCAGTTCAATCTCAAAATTCCACTGATTCCAAGAATTTACGATTTTTTTCGGTAGAAAATTGACGTGACGCTGTTGCGCAACTTTGACAACTCGAATAATAAGGAAAATCTGGAAAAAATGTGTCCCCATTGTTTCAGGGACTAGTAAACAGTCTGGAATTGTGTGGGGATTCCTAGTTTCCTCTTTACAGTGGCCAGTGTCCATGTTATGCTCGAAAATGTGTGGTGAAAATCAGCTGGTGGCCATCTTGTTTATAACAAGCAATATATTATTATAAACACATAAACGGATATCTTCTATGGAATTTAATTGTTGTAATATATGATGGCCTTTGAATAAATCGGGTCCATCTCTTCTGAGGATGAATGAAATTACGAAAGTAAGCTGAAATTAGTAGTATACCTTTATTCATAACTGTTAACATGGCGCTTGGATGTATCCTTGTTTAGGATTTATTTTGGCGCCAACAAGTGATTATTTGAAAAGGAAGTTTCTTATAACTGTAATTAATTTGTGAATAAATCAATTTTTAGCAGTTTCAAGATGGCTGGAAATGATGGTACCAGTGCAGAATTGTTTCCAGGATGGTCTTCTGTAGTACACCAGCCAGCAGAAGATCCTGAAGAATCTGATTTACCAAGCACTGTGGACATCACAGCTTTCACCAGCAGTTTGAATGTTGAACCTAACAATGCAGGACAGAATGATGAAAACAGTGATTCTGAAAGCGATTCTGAACCTGATTCAAGTGTAAGTAGGAAAAATATTATTTTTTCTCTTCCAGATGATTGAATATGTACCCATGTATGTACCTGTTCAAAGGCATTGAAATCAAAACAAATTTGCACACCTATTCTGTGATCTACATACTCTTGATCATCTCCTGGGAGTATACAAATTTGACTCTTTTGATATTTGATAATATTCTGAGACCATATATTCAATGGTACTCCATCCAAATTGCAAAAACTTCTCCACATCTAGGTCAAACTGAGGTCAATCATTGTTACCATTTTAATTTCTTTCTTATGACTGAATTACTGGATATAGGTAGGTGGGTAGTAATGATGTAGACATTTCAATATTATTATTATTTGATGGATGTTTTACAAATTTAATGTCATGTTTTTGTTCCTTGTGGATCTTTTCTATACCTGTCCAACTTCCAATGGTATCATGAAAGTTAACATCATAAACAAAGTTGAATAATATAATATGTACCTATACATATGTTGATTTCTGATATTCTCCATGTGTCCCTATATAAAATCAATAATGTCTAAATTATTTCATTCAATTTTTATATTTGACAAATGATTCTACTGTGTAAATATGAAAATATTCCAACATTGTTGAGAGACTGAGGTGGTTAGTATGTGTTAAAAGCATGTATTGTATCAACAGTTTGGATCAACATACAGGGTGGTACATATTTTCAATACTGTTGATAATAAAATTGATTGCACCTTTTTTCAGTATGCCACTAACCAGAACTTGGTACATTTCTCAATTTCACCATTTAATTTCCTAATTTTGACCATCTTAATTATTCTTTTAGTACATATTTTCAATACTGTTGATAATAAAATTGATTGCACCTCTTTTCAGTATGTTACTAACCAGAACTTGGTACATTTCTCAATTTCACCATTTAATTCCTTAATTTTGACCATCTTAATTCTTTTATTTCAATCAGTATGCAAGATTCAATTTGCTTCAATTTAAAATGCTCATTTGATGCCATTTGGAATTGTAGAATTTTTGTTGTATGTCTCTACTTATTTTCCTTGGGAAATTGATCATCTCAGTTATGTTCAGTATTTGAAAAGGGTATCTTCTAAGATTTTTGTGATATAGGGATGTCCTGGATGTGACTGGGATTTCCACAAATAAGCATTTTTATTAAGGACATTTTTCACCTTATTTTGCCAGAAAATCTTCTGATATATCATTCAAAGGACACAAATATATTGATGAAAGGTGATACAAATCAAATATTGGTATTTTATTCAAAATCTGAGGAAATCCCCATACCTTGAGTTTCAATAAAAATAAGATTCAAATCTCCACATCAATTAAATGTCTGGGAACAACACTATGAAATTCAGAGAACACTTGAAATTTATTAACTCCAAGTTGGTGAACTTTTTATGGCCTGAATCGGCCTGAATACTAAGAAGATACTCAAATATCAACATACTGAAAATATTTTAATACTCATGCTTCTATTCTCACATAAAATATGCCATATTCTTATGAAGAAACAATATTGAATGGGAATCAGTGTTTGCTCAACAAAAGAGGACAATCAGAATCATAATAATAATAATTGTGCGCTCCAAGAGATGAAAAATACTAAGAAGATGCTCAAATATTAACATACTGAACATGTTTTATTACTCTTGCTTCTATTCTCACATAAAATATGGAATCTTCTTATGGAGAAATAATATTGAATGGGAATCAGAGTTTGCTCAACAAAAGAGGACAAACATAATAATAATTATCCTGCACTCCTAGACATGAAAAAAAAAATGGAATTTATCCTACAGATAATCTTGAAGGTGGCATTTGATATCACTAAAATAGAGTTGTTAACAGGACTCAATATCTTCCTTTCAGTAAATACTCATTTTTCATGAACAGTTTACAAAAAATGCCTTTCTAAACTTATAGAAGTAATTAAAACATGATGCCTACACTGAGGTGTATTGTTTTCAGGTTAGTATTATTGTGTTGACTCTCCTTTCAGTACAAATGGTAGGAAGATTTTAAACTGAAAGGAGTGTCAATACAATAATTCTAACCTAAAAACCATTCATCTCAGTGCAGGCAGCTTCTAATTACTAAACTTCTGTAAAATAAAATCGACCTGTCTTTGCAATTTGTATCATTTACTGGATGGAATATATGTGGGATGTTTTCAAAATGTCACCCTGTATATTTGAGTGCATGAAATTTGTTGATAAAAATACGAGGGGTAAACCGCGGTGGAATTCTGGTGTACAAACAACTAGAATTCCTTGGAATTCCTTGGATTTCCTTGGAATTCCTTGGATTTCCTTGGAATTTCTTGGATTTCCTTGGAATTTCTTGGATTTCCTTGGAATTTCTTGGATTTCCTTGGAATTCCCCGGAATTTCTTGGATTTCCTTGGAATTCCCTAGAATTCCTTGGGTAAAGTGCGGGATATTCCTGGTCTACAAACAACTGGAATTCCTTGGAATTCCTTGAAATTCTTTGGGTGATGTGCGGTATAATTCTGGTGTACAAACAACTGAAATTGTTTGGAATTCCTTGGATTTCCTTGAATTTCCTTGGAATTTCTTGGAATTCCTTGGAATTTCTTGGAATTCCTTATTTGAAGTGCGGTATAATTCTGGTGTACAAACAACTGGAATTCCTTGAAATTCCTTGGATTTTCTTGGAATTCCCTAGAATTCCTTGGGTGAAGTGCGGTATATTCCTGGTCTACAAACAACTGGAATTCCTTGGATTTCCTTAGAATTATTTGGAATTCCTTGAAATTCTTTGGGTGATGTGCGGTATAAATATGGTGTGCAAACAACTGAAATTGCTTGGAATTAGTTGGAATTCCTTGAATTTCCTTGGGATTCCTCGAATTTTCTTGGAATTCCTTGGAATTCTTTGTGAAATTGAAGTTTGGTGTACACAATTTTGTAATGTAACAATACTACATGCCAAACAATGGAACTTATGTTTATAAAGTACATAGACTACTACTCTACTGATGATTGAGACAAATGCTCTCTATATCTGTGTGAAGATTATTAATAATCTTCCTATAGTAATCTGAAAAGTAATTAAGCATTCTATGAAATCATGTAACAAGTTCTCACTTTTCAATGCCCCAATGTTTAACCTTGAGATTTATAACCTCGGCGCGGTCTGCCGGCACTTTAGCCACCGGAAAACGGTCTGTCAATCATTGTCAAACTTTTTTTCTTATGTCAAGATGTACACGAATTTTCATGACTGTACTAATGACGTTCATTATCATATCATAAATGGAACCATTCCAAAAGAAAATTGTGATTGTGCAGAGTCACATGAGTTTCAATCATGTCCCCAGCTCTCAGACTCTAACTTTCAATGTAAGCCAGGTGTTAAATAGTAATTTTCCTGACAAGTGCGGAAAGTGATTCTTTCCCGCACGCGACTGCCGTTGATACGAACGCCGCGAAGCGGAGTTCGGGCAAGCAGTCGAGTGCGGAAAGACCGAGGGGGTTGCCACAACTAATTTTAACGTACGAATTATTGCCATTTCCCAGTATTTCCTAATATTGCCCAATTTCCTGGCATTTTCTCATATTTCCAATTATTGCCCCGCATTTCCCGGCATTACCCCGCATTTCCCGTTATTTTCCTGCATTTCCCAGTATTGCCTCGAACTTCCAGAAATTTCCTCGTATTGCCTCGCATTTCCCGTATTTCCTAGAATTTTCTCGTATTGCCCCGCACTTCTCAGTATTGCCCCGTATTTCCCGGTAGTGTCTCGTATTTCCAGAAATTTCTCCGTATTGCCTCGTATTTCCCAAATTACCTTGTATTGCCCCGTATTTCCCAGTATCGCCTTGTATTTCCCTGCATTTCCCTGTATTGCCTTAATTTCCTGACATTTTTCATTGGTTACACAATCGTTTTTATATTGTCAGGCATTCTCTAATATTTCACTACAATAATATTGTTTTACGACAGTAGGTACTATGAAAAAAATATACAATCGAAAAAAATATGTATTCTTATAAATATTCAACAAAAAAAACGTAATATGAATCACAGTAGGAAAATATCACCACAGTTTGAGTGGAGAACCTATGAATGACTTAAGATACTTACATCAACAAAAAAACTAGAAAAATATCTATTCCTAATGACTTTAATCACTGGAATGAATATCAACAAAGAAAACAAAACATGGGTCATTCAATAAAAAATATATCAAATTCCAAACTAAAATTAACTACACCCCTTTCTTTTTCAAATCTTTATATATTTTTTTAATATTATTTGGATCATATCTTGTGATCCGATTGTGATCTGTAGTGGGTCACAGCCAAGCATATTTATTGGTCCATAAAATATTTGTTCTTTGTGGACACAATCTACGTCGTCTGATTTAGGCCAGAAAAAATTATTCAGGTCTTCTTTCAGAAATTTGAGAGTACAGGGTGGGCAAAATTGGGCGTTTTCACCGTCTATCTCAATAACTAGAGGAGTTATCGAAAAACCAATATACATGTTCCGGGTTCGATTTTGGAGAAACCTCGAATGGCACAATCAAAATTTCGATATCTTCATTCGTTTTAGAGATACAGGGGGAAATAGAAAATTTGCCGATTTCGATTTTATTTTCTGACTACTTTACGGTGAGAGGTATCAAAAAATTTCGAAAGTATATTCATACAGTATGATGCGTGGAATCCATTGGCATCATCAGAAATTTTATACAGGGTGACGTTGAAAAGATACGGCAGCCAATTATGTTTTTTCTAATGGAACACCCCGTATATTTTGGCACAGTTGAATAGTCCCAGGCGTTCTTATTACAAATATATACATAACCCTACCTTTCCCTTCCACAATTTCAGATATATTCGCAAAAATATATTCAGTGTGTCACATTTCTTATGGTTACACCCCCGTATCTTCTGTAAAAATAATTGAGGTAGGATTCAAAAATTCGCAACTGTCAGAAAGATACAAATGATACACTCATGGAGTCATGG